CCTGACTTCTCCCCCAAGGAGTCCTGGGAGTTGTAGTTTTAGGAGTGTCTTGTTAGAGAATCTTGCCTTCCCTCGCAGAATGAGATAATTCTTCTGATTATTCTGGGGGATTACTTGATCCCATCGGTATAGCGCCGTTCGGTCTCTGAGAGACAGAGGCGGCGATGCACTGATTTTTGAGGGGAGGCAGATGTCGTGGGACAGAGGAGGATGAGGATATGGAGTTCTCAGGTTGCACCGAGTGCTTTGTGCGGTGATGCTGGCCCATCCTGTAAGTCACTGAGAGGCAAGAGCATCATGGCTCCGTTTGGTAGCGATGCTGTCTGGAGATATATACAGGGCTTGCCTTATGCCGTAACTCTGGGCAGCTTCAAGATTTGTAGCACCAGTTTGGTGGTGGTGTGGTTCGAGTGCCCGACTAGGACTTGGGAGTCCAGGTTCAAGTCCCTACTCAGCCATAAAGCTCACTGGATGGCCTTGCGTCAGATCGACCTGACAGACTTTCCATGAGGAGAAAAGGGTGAGAGCCATGAATGCCATTGTGAGTCCCTTGAAGGATGGCAGCATAAAATATATATATATATTTAGAGCAGGGGTCTCCAACATGGTGACTGTGAGCACCGTAGCACCCACGAGCACCTTTCCTGGGGCCTGCTAAAAGTTTTTGGGAAGTGGGCTGTGTCAGGCGGGGCTTTTGCCCAGCAGAGCTTCTGATTGGCCGTTGACGATTTGATTGGCTGTGCAGATTTTTTTAAAAAAAATTGCTTTGGCAGCAGCTGCCACCACAGCACAAGGATCATTACTGTGTGACTGAACATAAGCTGCTGCGGCCATTTTGTGGCTGGCTTCGCCTCCTGCGGCGGCCATTTTGTGGCTGCACCCACCATCCTATGTCAGAATTCCAAAGGTGCCCACAGGCTCAAAAGGGTTGGGGATCCCTGAGCCAAATGGAAAATTCAGTTTAATCATTACAGGAAAGGTGTTAATGATCTTTAAGAAAAAAAAGGGATTTCACGGGTGGTATGCAGAGATTCTGGCATTGCACGCGGTGGAGGCATCCTCCTCAGACCTTCTTCACATACTGGGATGGGGGGGAAAGATTCTGCTCGCTGTCCAACTCACGGTTTCTTTTTCTGTTCTTAACTGCAGCTCCCACTGCCCCCCACCTCCATGTCCGACTGTGGGAATGTAGTCGTGGGGCTGCCCTTTCCTTCGCCCCGGGGGGCCCCCAAGATTCCACCACCCACCATCCTCAGCACAGTGCCCCATCAGATGTTCAGTGACACAGGGGAGGGAAGCGGTGAAGATCCCCTGGACGGTGACGATGAACTGGTCATTGACATTCCCGAGTAACCGTGGAAAGCGGCACACCCTGTTTAAAGGACACAGGCCTCTTTGCGATACGTGTGGGGGCTGTGCCCCATATTTTATTCCAGCGGTTTACAGACTCCAAAAACATGCAAACCAGTCAATAAATGCAGTTGTTTTGTATAAAAAAATTCCGTTGTGATTTCTGTATATTTCCCCCCCAAAACCCCGCCCTCCCGAGCTTCCTTTCCTCTTTGAAACCCCCCTGAGCCCTTAGAAGAATTCCCCCATAAAATGAGGACAGAGGTTTCTCGTCTCTTTTCAGTCAGGCACGCTCCTTTACAAATCATTTTCTAGAGAAAAATCCTTGGGGGGGGGGGAATCCTATTCGCTTTATGGTGTGGGGTGAATCTTTTTTGACTGTGGAGGAAAAAAACATTTTTTAAAGGGAAGAAAGTCTGAGAAAAGCGCTTCACATCTTCTGAGGGGGGAGGAAAGGGCAGACGTTTAAGAACCAGGAAAGAGTTTTTCATTGTGCAGATAAAAATGTGAAGTCTAACATCAATCTGCTCGCAAGAAATCCTGTCGAGAAATTTATCTTTCAAGAGCCCCAAGGGATTCTTTTAGATAGGAAAGGAAACTCGGTAGATCTTAGACATGTTTTACTAGAAGGTCCCTAGTAAGCACTCAAATGCGGTTACTGGCTGCATTGTGGTTTTTTGCTGCAGATTTTTAAAAAGTCATAATGGGATATCTCTCCGGAACCATTCTCTAAATATAAATGTAAGTGGCGGGGGGGAACCTGATCTTTTCAAAACAGAAAGAAAAGAGAATGTTGTGTTTGTTGTATGGGCAACATATTTAACCAGTTGTCTTTCAAAGATGCCAGATTTGTGCCTGGTGGCAAACAGCTGCTTACAAGCCAAGATGGGAGACCGCACTCCTGTCAGAGAGCTGAATCGCATTTTACTCAGCCAACGGACTTGTCACTTGTGCCCCGAGTCTCTGCTGGTCAAGGACTGAGGCTTCAGGAAACCGGGATCTGTGACTGAGATGGCCCAAAATGTGCTGGGTCCCCAAGGCAGAAAATTCCAGTGGCGCCAGAGCACAAAATGTTCTGCTGTGCTTGTAATTAGCACTAACCGGGGGTTCCAGTTTTCCAGCTAACAGCCAATATCACTGAGGCCATGGGAGGGGCAGCGAACAGGAGACCCCTGTCCCAGAAGCCAGTTTGGTGCAGTGGTTAAGAGTGTCAGACTAGTACCTGGGAGTCCCAGGTTCGAATCTCCATGTTGTGCTGTGGAAGCTCGCTGGATGACCTTGGGCAGTCTTACTCTTTTGGCCTGACCTACCCCACAGGACTGCTGTGAGGATAAACTGGAAGAAAGCAGAATGAGCCGCTTCGGCGGGAGGGCGGGGTAGAGATTTAATAAATAAATAAAATGATGTGAGCCACTTTGAGTCCCCATTACATTATTAAGCAAATAATAACCTGTCTGGATCCAGTTTCCATTAGAAACGTTTTTTTTTTAACTATTCTTTTCTATGCTATCACCTTCTTGGAACTGATCTACTTTTTTTTTTTTTTTTTTTTTAAGGAAACTGCTTTGGAAAACGCATGTCTTGAAAAGCCGTGTGTTGTAAATAAAGAACAATAAAGGCTGCAAGCCTCAGCATGCTTAGGATCATGCTGTGCAGAACTGACAATCTGCTTTCCCCAGAGAGCCAGCTTGGTGTAGTGGTTAAGAGTGGCGGACTCTAATCTGGAGAACCCTGTTTGATTCCCCACTCCTCCTCCACATGCAGCCAGATGGGTGACCTTGGGTCAGTCACAGTTCTCTCAGAGCTGTTCTCTCAACAGCAGCTCTCTCAGAGCTCTCTCAGCCCCACCTAACTCACAGGCAGTGTTCCCTCTAAGTTGAGTTAGTGTGAGCTTAGCTCACAGTCTTTTAGCCTCCGGCTCACACATTTTTGTCTTAGCTCAGGAAGGATGGCTCCAGTGCAAACTAATTTATGCAGCAGCCAAATTGCTCGCTCACACGTTTAATGCCGGTCGCTCAAAAAGTAGAGTTTTTGCTCACGAGACTCTACAGCTGAAAAAGAAGAAGAGATTGGATTTATACCCCGCCCTTCACTTCGAGTCTCAGAGCGGCTTACAAACTCCTTTCCCTTCCCCTCCCCACAACAGACACCCTGTGAGGTAGGTGGGGCTGAGAGAACTCTGACACAAACTGCTCTTTTTCAAGGACAGCTGTGCCAGAGCTTGTCACTGACCCAAGTTCACATCAGCAGGTGCGAGTGGAGGAGTGGGGAATCAAACCCGGTTCTCCCAGATTAGAGTCCGCACACTTAACCACAACACCAAACTGAGAGGGAACACTGCTCACAGGGTGCCTGTCGCGGGGAGAGGAAGGGAAAGGGGACTGTAAGCTGCTCTGAGACTCCAAGTGAAGGGTGGGGTATAAATCCAGTCTCTTTTCTTCTTTTTCTTGATAGGGATCGATACAATTTCCTGGCTACTGCTGTCCTCTTTACCCGGCTGAAGAGCAGGATAGGCCCTGGGCTGGCTGTCAACATGTGATGGATGCCCACCAGGGAGCCACAGCCAGTCATGGTTCCCTGAGTAATGGCCACTGTTTGTCCCCATGTATTTAGACATACGGCTCCCTTTCAGACAGAGCAGTGTTTTACCAGGATAAATTCTGAATTCGTCTGCTGCAAAAAAAACATGAATCAGCCCTCATCTGGAAGCGTCTGTCCTGGGCTACAAAAACGGCCAGCTGCTGTTTTCCTGATAGAAAACGAGGTGAAAAATACAGAGGGTGCCTCATTAACAGCGTAAGATTTCCCATCCAGCTCTGTTTTTAAAATGGCTGGGTGGGAAGGGAAATTAATCTGGCTCGCCCGTCAAGAACTGGGAGGAAAGGAGACTGCGGAGAGCCTTTTATTCAATAAAAGTTAACGGGATGAACGGTGACGCTTGCAGGCCTGCCTCTTTCTGTTGTGTTGTTTGGAAGGAGCGTGCCAGGAGGGAAGCCCCGGCCCTCCAGTTTTCTTGCAAGGAAGCCAAAAGGCTTCATTCTTTGAAAATTGTTCAAGAATACAAATTGCATATGTCACTCCAAGTGATGTATGCAGGGATAGGAATGGATGCGTCAAGAAGGAAGTTAACAGGAAGTGTTGGACTGTAGGAAGAATTCTGTCCTTGTGTGTGGCTTTCAAGGGCTTTTATTTTGTGTGTGTGTCTAGAAAACACATGCTCTGTGTTCCTGACCATGGGCCAGCAAATAATTTGTCCCTCAAAATCCACGCCAAAACCTGGCATGAAAGGGGGAAGGGGTGGTTCAGGAGCTGTAGTCAGCTGGGTTACACAAAGGGGAAGGGAGCAGAGGAATCTTTTGAAGAAAGTGACCCTTTTTGGTGGCTGTTCACTGACGTGACCGTTTTTGTCCCACTGGCCATCTTGGTTTTGCTCACTGGGCTCCTCCCTGTACTTCCTTGGCTCTCCCAGGTCGCCCCTCCCACTGCCTCAAGACACCCAACCAGAAGAGGGGACGGCCTCCATTTGAGCCCCTCCCCAGAGCATAATATAAATGGACACCAACAACAAGTAAACTGCAAAAACGTGCAAACGTCCTCGTGCAGAGGAGGGGCCTCTGGTGCTGTGCCCCTCCCTTTTTTCGGCAGGCAGGCAAGGTGGGAGGATGCGGTTCCGTAGGCAGTCATGATGGTACCTCAGGGGCCGAAAGTGGAGGATTCTGGGAGCTCGTTGGTGAGTGTGTGCCAGTGCTCGAGGCGATGGTTAGGGGTCTGAAGGAGCGAGAGCCAGTGCTGTCGGCATTCGCCGGGGGCTCCCAGCCCCAGGGTCACCCCTCCTGCAAGGAAGGACGGAAGAGGGTCTTATGGTTCTCAAACAGTGCCTATTACTGAGGCGTAGGCGGGAACAACTACATTCAAGTCTAGTAGAACCTTCGGGACCAATGAGATTTTCAGGGTGCGAGCTTTTGAGAGTCAAAGCTCCCTTATCAGATCTGATGGATGGAAGGTCTCCTTACTGTGAAACAGCCGGTGTGTGTGTGTATTGTGTCCCCCCCAACACACACAAAATCTTGGGAACTAATTTGGTGAGGAAGCTGTAAAGCCTACATTGGGGACCCCACAAAGCCAAATTATGGGGCTGTTAAAATTTGTCATATTTCTTTCCTTCCTCCCCCCCGCCCCCTTATAGAGCTCACAGCAGCTTACATAGGCTTCCTAGGCTGTCTCGCGTTCAGGCACTGATGAGGCTTAGCCCTGTTTCACCCAAGTTGCTATATCATATGCTCGGGACCCAGTTCCCTGGAGAGAACAGGGATACTTAAACCAGTTTTGAGTCTGTGCAGAGATATGCATGCGGTCCTTTTCTAGGTCTCTCAGACAAGGGAAACATTCACACACAGATATTCCCAATGCTGTACTGTTTCTTACCGATGAAGTCGTTGGATTTTCCAATGTCGTAGTCCCATACTGTTATCTCCAGAGATTTCTGACCGAGTTCTGAGTGCTCAATCTCATAGAAAAAATCCTGTGGGTTGGGGGGCAGGAGAGAGCGAGTGTTAGGAACCGAGATTTCTGACTCCACTCCTCCCACTCATGCATACAAATCTGACCCTTTTTGTTTATTTTGTATGTGGTTGTGGACTTTAATGTTCTGCCCATTTCCATTGCTGGCGTTCTTCATCTGTTTGTTTTATGCCATTTACATAACAATAATGTTGAACAATGCATTAGCATAAATGGGCAATGTTCAGCATGAGGAAATAGATAATAAAGACTCAGGGGGTTGGATTTGCAAGCTGCACCGGCAGGAGTGAGAAATTAGTTGGCCTCCCTGACTCAACCCCCAGAGCCTTTCCTCATCCTCCTTCATTCACCTCATTATACTCCGGGTTCAGCGTCTTCTTCTTCACAGTTGTTTTGTGCTTTGACTTCTTCTCTTCGTCTGGCTTGAGATACCTGCCAAGAAACGGAGAATGAGTCTCTCTGTCTAGACTGTCTGTCTCCCTCCTTCCCAAAGAGAGATCGAGGCAACCAACCAACCTGAAACTTCTGTGCACAGACACTTAAGTGCCACCGTAAAGCGCAGCAACACATTACAACGCTCAAAAGGCCTAAAAACACAGTGAATGTAGAAAACAAATATACCTGCTGGACTTCTTCCCAAACGGCAAACTGTCACTACTGTGTTTCGTTCTGACTGACAGGCTAGCCCTGAGGTGAACCTCTGCAATGTGTTTCCAAGCTCACATTTTAGGGATGACAAAACTGGCCATGCGCTCTCTTCATCCCCAGTTCCTCCCGTCTCCAATGCGAATTCCTCTTGCCTCTCCCTTGGTTAACCATTCATTGTGGCAGGAAGTTGACCAGCGCCTCCCCCCACCCCAACCTACCCCCTGTTCAAGTGTAAATTCCTCACGCTTTTACGTAGGGGTCGGAGTAGCCGCACACGTCCATCGCAGCTAAGTGGGCACAGCGGAGAACAGACACCAGAAGCCCGTGCCGTTCGGAGATGTACATGAGGGCGAGCAGGATGCGGCCCCTTTCCTCCAGGGCCCAGCCAGCCGGGGGTTCTAACTGCGCAGCAAGGAAGAGGAGAGAACGTCGGAAGGATTTTGTGTGAACGGCCCGCCTTTCAAGAGAACCGCTTCATTCCAAAACATCAGAGTTGGCCTTGGCTTTCCAGGGGAAATGTCAGATAGCTCCTCATTCCACCTCACATCCTTAAGCTCCTGAGTCAGGCAGGCCCTCTCCGGGTGCGGTCAGACAGTGTGCTGGGAGCGGTTTAAATGGCTCTGGCCCTGATGTGGTCTTTTTTAACCTGGAGAATCGCGATCACACTCACCTCCTTGCTCTGGATCGTTGCGCTGTTTTTCTCTCTCTCTCAGTTTGGGCATGCGCAGGGCCGGCTCACCCGCTAGGCGAACTAGGCATTCGCCTAGAGCGCGGGCCGGCTGTTAGGGGCGCCAAACAGGACCCGGCGCCCCCCCCGCCAAAGCCCCCCAGTCCCCGCCAAAAGGACGCAGAGGGGCGCAGCAGCAGCGGAGCCAAAAAGAGGGTGAGCAGAGTGGCAGGCAGGGAGAGGAGCTCTGACAGGACTTTCAAGCAGCCTCCTTCCCGAGCTGGAGCGTGACAAGCGGAGAAAAGGACAAAAAGAGAGGCGCTCCTGCTCTGCCCCGCCCACGGTCTCCTTCCCTCCCACAGTCCCACTCTCATCTCTCTCTCGCACGGAAGCAGGGAAGGAAGGGAGAGTGGGCAGACAAGCAAGGGGAGGGTTGGAGCAGACACCGGCAGCCGGCAGCACCAAGAGGGCGCCCCTTTCTTTCTCTGTCCAGAAGCTCGGGACTGGAGGCGCCCTAGCGCTCCTCCACATCTACTGCGCATGGGCTTCACTCCGGATTGTGGGGCCGGCCAGGCAGGCACAGCCGCGTGCACGCACACACTCCCCCCACCCTCGGCGGCGGCGGTTCGGCCAAATGTGGTAGTTCTGGCATTTCTCCGCCCGCACTGCAGCCACCCTGCAGCCCCAAGGGCTCCGGCCCAGAGCGGCTCCCACCCCACTCAGCTGCCCTGCAAAGCAGCCCCCAAGAGCTGAGCAGAACTTCCCCCGCGGCCCCTGCCGCTGGCCATCATGACCTGCAAGATCGTTGAGACCGAGGGGGGGAGGGGGCGGCGGCGACGGAGGGGGTGGCCAGCTGGGAGGTCTCCAGGCCCCACCAGGAGGTTGGCATCTGCACCTCACCTAGGGCACAGAAACACCTCAGGCCGGCCCTGGGCATGTGCACAGGCAGCCATCTGTGGAACTAAAAGTTTCATGCGTGCGCAGAACAGCGATTTCCTCTTCAACCCGACTGCTGTAACGCTTCCCTTTAAAATTTAAAGGAACACTTCCCTTTAAACGTTTACCGCCACAAATGGCCTCCGTGAGATCCCAAACTCGTCTAAAGGCTAAAACTAGGCACCATTTAAACATTGTTTTTAATAACCCTGTGGTGGACCTCCGCCTATGCGCCCACTGCCAATGCTTTTTTAAAAATGGCGGGTGAAAAGCGGAAGCCTCAGGCAGCTTTCGAGTGGGGACGGGGTTTAAATCGGAAGTGGCTCGACACCGGAGGAGCGATCACATAGGGGAAAAATGCGGCTGGAACCGGATAATCAGGAAAAGACCACTTGGGGACCTGGTATCAAAATACTCCGGGTTAAAGCAGTTTTGAGCCGGAAAGCGACGGCTGGGGACAGGAGGCAGATGTTGGCCGTGTGATCGGGCAGATAAATTCTGTTTCTGAGGTGGGCCGAACGCGGACTAAACGGCCCGTCTGAACGCACCCTTCATGTCTCTAGTTTGGTCTCTTCAGGTTTCAACAGGCCTTCTCTCACCACCCACCCACTCTGGTTCCCACAGCCTTGGCAGTTAGCTGTCTCATCCGGCTGTCTAATGGCTGCCCACTTCCCTGGCCTGTTGTCTCTCAGCTTCCACAAAGTGTCAGGCCCCTCTGCTGGTTTCACCCCATGAAACATCCACCCTGGAACCGGTTTCTGATTGGAAGAACAGCCATGTTTTAAATTAGGGTTGCCAGCTCTGGATTGGGAGATTTTGGGGGTGGAACCTGGGGAGGGGAGGGACTTGGAGAGGGGAGGGGCCTCGGCAGGGTATTATACCATAGAGTCCACCCTTCAAAGCAGCCATTTTCTCGAGGGGAATTGATCGCTGTCATCAGGAGGTCAGTTGTAAAAGCAGGAGATGCCGCCTGGAGGTTGGCAAACATGCTGTTGATCTTATGTCTCTGCATTCTAGCTCTGGTTTTAATTGTTTCAACCATCTGTGATTTTGGGGGGGGAGGTGTGTGTGGTTGTAACGGTTTTAGAACGTGGTTTCAGTATGTATGTTTTGTTTTGTTAGCTGCTTGGGTGGTCCTTGTAAGGGCAGAAAGGCGAGATCGAAATTTTCTAAAATATAAATAAATTGGAAGATCCTTAAATGTGAGATTAAAAAAAAAAAGGATCATTAATTGCTTTTCTCAGGTTGCCAACTGCCGTGTGGGGCTTGGAATCACATCTGATCCCCAGAGTACCACGAGGCCACTTCCTCTGGGAAAAAAGGGGGCTCTGGAGGATGGTCTGTACAGCAGTACCTCCCCCTGAGGTCCACCTTTCTCCAAACCTCATCCTCCACAGGCTCCCCTCCCCAAATCTCCAGGAATTTCCCAACCCAGAGTTGGCAACCCGCCTTTCTTCCCCAATGAGTAACCAAAAACCAATATTTGAGATTTGGGGTAAGGACTTCCTGGTCAAAAGGCTATAGTATCCTGGCACTTCAAGCTACAGTCTCTTGTCTTTTATAAAAATTAATCAGGGGTTCGAAAGCAAGAAATTGCGAGTAGATAAATAGGTACCACTTCGGTGGGAAGGGAACAGCGTTCCGTGCGCCTTGGTGTTTAGTCATGCCGGCCACATGACCACGGAAATGTCTTCGGACAGCGCTGGCTCTTCGGCTTTGAAACGGAAATGAGCACTGCAACCCTAGAGTCGGACTCGACTGGCTTTCGAGCAAGGGAACCTTTACCTTTACCTTTACTCAGTAAATAGGGGTTGCAGTGGCTCAAGTGGTTAAGACGCTGAACTGCCAACAAGAAGGTCGGTAGTTCAGCAGTTCGAGACTTGAGTGCCGCATGATGGAGTGAGCTCCCGTCTTTGGTCCCAGCTCCTGCCAACCTAGCAGTTCAAAAGCAAGAAACTGCAAGTAGATAAATAGGTACCACTTCAGTGGGAAGGTAACAGCGTTCTGTGCGCCTTGGCGTCTAGTCATGCCGGCCACATGACCACGGAAATGTCTTCGGACAGCGCTGGCTCTTCGGCTTTGAAACGGAAATGAGCACTGCAACCCTAGAGTCGGACTCGACTGGCTTTCGAGCAAGGGAAACCTTTACCTTACTCAGTAAATGCTTTTGTAAAAAAGTATATTGGTTTATGCTGGATCTAACTGGTTCCTAGAAAGTATTTTTTTCTGTTAATACCTGGAGATTTTGGTGGTGGTGCCTGAGGAGAGGGAAGTTCTAAAGAAGTGAGCAGTGACTCACGAAAGCTCCTACCCTGCTTGCTCTTGCTCTTTTCTGCTGCTGCAGACAGACTAACGTGATGATCCACATTGATCTTGATCTTGCTGTTAATTTGGTTATTCTGGCTCTAGCAGGTATGACAAACCTAAGTCTATACCTTATCCTGTGTGTTTTTTTTAACTCCCACCCTTCTCTTGGGATACATACGAGTGAAAGTCAGGTTATATAATTATACTTGTTATGTAATCCTTTAATGAGGAGTAGGAGGAAGAAAAGCTCTCACCTCTCTCAGGTAGCAGGAAATTCCACGCAGAGCGGCTGTCATGGAGGAGGGGGAAGCCAGCTGTTGAGAAGCAGAAATTTAGCCGACATTAGCGAATTCTTCAGAGGTGGCAAGTGTGTGAGTGTGTGTGTGTGTGTGTGTGTGTGTGTGTGTGTGTGTGAGAGAGAGAGAGAGAGAGAGAGAGAGAGAGAGAGAGAGAGAGCGCTGAGGAGAATTCTCTCCTGAGCTGTCAAAACACAAAATTTCACACATACACACACACCCCAAAAGCATGGAGATGTGAAGGCCATGATGGATGCATATTCTGAGTATTGTTTTAGTTCTGTGTGTGTGGGGAAAAAAGAATCATATGTCAAGGCAACCAAAATTAATCTACAATGAGAAAAGATGGATTGCATTACAGATAAGTTCTGCCAAAAAAAAAAAAGCACATTTCCTTCTCCCAGAAATTGCACCCACAAAATCAGATTACCATTTCCCCCTGCCTCAGTTGTATAAGATTTCATCAGCTGGACCTCTTCTCTGCCTTTACAATTGCCAACAAATTCTAATCGGGTAGCACAAAATCGTCATTGACATGAAGTAGGATTGTGGCTTTGCTGTGTATCGCTGTAGTGTGGCCAAAAAAAGCCACCCTGAGGATCTTAATGTTCCGTAACGGCTGTGGATGTTTCCTCATTTGGGGGCAGACTGTTGGGAGCAATGCTCCCTCTAAGCTGTGGAGTCCTGTGAGCAGAAATTCTACTTTGTGAGCTCCTGGCATTAAAGTTGTGAGCGAGCGATTTGGCTGCTGCATAAATCAGTTTGCTCTGGAGCCCTCCTTCCTGAGCTAAGACGAAAATGTGTGAGCCGGAGGCTAAAAAACTGTGAGCTGGCTCACACTAACTCAGCTTAGAGGGAACACCGATTGGGAGACGGTCTTTGGAGACCTCTGGCTGAAATCTGAAGAACACGTTCCTGGGAGCCAGCCCCACTGAACTGCTGCAGTCGTGGATCAGTCCCCTATTCTTGAGGGACAGTTTGGAGAAGGTGACACCTCCCTGCTGAAGGGAGAGGGGCCAATGTGTATGTTTTAAGAAAACAGCAGCTTGAGCTGAGATAGAAGAGTGAAAGGAAGCCGACGAGAACATTCTGTGAGCCGGTTGAATGTGAAACACCTGAGTGTGGGTGCATATTCTCCCCCCCCTCCCCGCGCCTAATGTAAGATGTGCCACTTCGTATGAGCGTCTGCTTTTATATTTATCAAGCAAATATTACAAGGACATCATTAAGTCCACAGTGTTCTCTCACCCAAAGTGAATCAGCTCAGACAGTGTTGTTTCTGAACTTTCCAGGGAAGAGAGAGTATATAACAATCGGGGTTTTTCCAAGGGTGGTGGTGGTGGTGGGGACTAGGAGGCAAATTTCTCTGCCCTTTGTCACCCTGGGAGCTCATGGAGTTGGGAAGTCAGATGATTTGCTTTCATATTATGTCTGGGTGAGCCTGTGTGATATGGCAGGGGCCCAGAGGAAAACTTTGCCTGGGGAGCTATGGTGGATCCCTGCAACCCAGGCTAAAAGTGGCTACTACCTGTGAGCCTCTTCGCTCTCTGCCCCCTGGCCAGTGGCCGGCCTGCTAAGGCACAGCATATCCACAACCAATTGTAACTATGCAGGAGGAAGAATCCGCCATGGAACGCTGTAGCCAGGAAATCAGATCAGACTGAGAGGGGAAACCTCTCTCGTGGGACCCATGGAGAGGAAGGGGCTGTGTTCTGTCAGTGAGATGAACGGGGAGAGATGGCTGGGGAACCAAGGAGGTGGGAGACGGTGCCCTGAATTTAAGATCCTTAACTGTAGCTCCTTAGAGTTCATCTCTGACTTTGGATATAACCCCTCCCCTTACGCTAGACTCTCACCGGTTGCTGCCGTTCCAAACACAGGTTGAAGTGTCTCTTCTGGCCAGGCCGGAGGCGTCTTAAGGGCACCCGAGTCTCTCCAATGAACTCATTGTGGGTCAGTTTATCCTCGTCACAGACAGATATTCTGGGAGGAAGGGACAGAGAGGAGAGAGATGAAAGGGTGTTGCGGTCAAGGGAGCATCGCAATAGAGGAGGCTGAAATTTTAGGTGGGGCAGCCCCGTAGCAAGGGGATTTGGGGGGAGGGGGCCTCAGGAGGTCCGCCAGCCAATTAAATGAAAGTACAATGCAGGTGGTAAGTTGGAGCACTTTGGGGGCAGCCCGAGAGGGAGGGGGCCCAGAAGAAACACTAGGAGGCCAGGCCCCGTGGGCCCCATTTAGCTACGGGCCAGGGTGGGGTCATCTCACCGCAGGGTCTTCCGGGCCATGTCCTCGGCGGTTATCCCGATGTACGTTAGAGCCTCGTTCCACACAGGGTTGAGGGTGTTGTGCTGGGTCCGTGTTTTCAGCTTGTTGGCCTGGAGGGGAAGAGGAGCGGTAGGGTGGAATTGGACCAGAGCAACGGTATGTCCCAGTGGATGCCCGGGCTCCGCCTCTTGTTTTCAGGGTCAAGGCTGGGGATCGGGAAACTGTGACGTGGGATATGAACCCATTTCCTCTGGGTTTCTCCAGCTAAATAACTTCCTAACCTTGGCCCCACTCTTTCTAAGCAAGTGCCCTGCCCCAGCATTTCATGAAAGCCAGCTCTCCTTATCAAATGTATTAGAACTGAATAGTCTGTACACGCCCAGTCTGGAAGCCTCGTTAGGAACATCAGTTTAAAGAAAAAACTTTGGGATGTTCAGAAGCAACCAGGACATGAAGGCATTAACAATCCCATTCTTTTCTGCCATTACCTGTGATAGGGGTTATGTCTCACTAATGCTCACGAACAACTGGTTTGAACAGAACTGCCCTCTCTGAGTTTGACCAATCCTTTTAAAATGTAGGGTTGCCAGGTCTGGGTTGGGAAATACCTGGAGACTTTGGGGGCGGAGCCGGGAGAGGGCGGGGTTTGGGGAGGGGAGGGGCCTCAGCATGGTACCATGCCATGGAGTCTACCCTTCAAAGTGGCCATTTTCTCCGGGGGAGCTGATCTCTGTCAGCTGGAGATCAGTTGTAAAAGCGGGAGATCTCCAGGCCCCACCTGGAGGCTGGCAACCCTATTAAAAAGCCATCTATCCTAGGGCCATTACTGCATCTTAGGGTAGCTAATTCCACCTCCTGGTCTTACTTCCTGTCATTTGTGCATACTAGCCAAGGTTGCCAAGGGATATAGAACTGTATTGACACTGAGTGCTGGGCACTCAATGAAATTGCTGAGTGGTCGGGTTAGAACAGATAAAAGGAAGTCCTTCTTCACCCAAAGAGTGATTAACACATGGAATTCACTGCCACAGGAAGTGGTGGTGGCTACAAGCATGGACAGCTTCAAAAGGGAGTTAGATAAGCCTATGGAGCAGAAGTCCATCAGTGGCTATTAGCCACAAGGTATAGATAGGGGCTCTGGGGCAAGTGATGCTCTGTCTTCTTGGTGCTTGGGGGGGTCAACAGTGGGAGGGCTTCTAGTGTCCTGGCCCCACTGGTGGACCTCCTGATGGCACCTGGTATTTCTGGCCACTGTGTGACACAGAGTGTTGGACTGGATGGGCCTTTGGCCTGATCCAACATTGGCGTCTCTTATGTTCTTATGTTCTTATCACCTGGAATTACAATCTCCAGACCACAGAGATCAGCTCCCCTGGAGAAAATGGCTGCTCCGGAGGGTGGAGACTGTGGCATTCTACCCTGCTGAGGCCCCTCCCCTCCCCAAACTCCGCCCTCCTCTGGTTCTATCTCCAAATCTCCAGGAATTTCCCAGCCCGGAGCTGGCAACCCTAAGTAGCCTGGTTCACTTGTACACCTTCTGTCCCGTTTCTTCCCCATCCGGGCCCTGCCTCCCTTCTCTCTTCTGATCCAGCACACCTGCTCTCCCTGTCTCATTTCACCTCCAGTCTTAGGTCTCTTGGCCCTCGGCAGTCTGGAGTGTACAACCTCATTTTTGGCAACTCCAGTAAGATCACCAGTCACCCCTCTAGAAAACCCTAAAGCACGATTGCTTATGGGATTCTTATTACCAACAAGACCAGCAAAATGATTTGTCCCACGTGACTGTGGGTGTTCCGTACTCCCAGAGAGAGGCCAGTCCCCTCTGTCTGCAGGGGGAAATGCCCTCGTCATCTACTACAGGGATATAGAACTGTGTTGACAAGCCTGGACTCCCTGAGGATGCTTTGTTGGATGTTCCATGCTCATGTTGGATTGTGTTAAGCTCAGAGACCGAGAAGCAACCGGGAAGGGGCATATTACCTTGCAGGCCCCTGGTAGGAGGTGGAGTTTCACGTATGGGTCAGCCAGACCATTAAAATCCATGGGCTTCAACCCCTGAGAACAGGAAGACACAGAAATCATTCCCCTTCTCCTCCAAACGAAGCATTTCTCCCCCCCCCCACAAATGCACTTCATTAAAAACCCTAATCACATTGCACACCTTCCCTGGTACACATATTTCATTTGTGACGCTCTGTCTGAAGGGCATTACAAATCTCCTACACAGAGGTAGGGATCAGCACGAAAACCATGCGTGAATTAGAATGTCTCGATGGACTTGCCGGCAGGGTGTGTGAGAGACGTGGCAGTTTACAACCCGAGCGTATTCCTCAGCTTTTACTAAAGACGGTCTCCATATTTCCTGTTACCCTCCCTGGAAAATCACCGTAGCTATTTTTTCCCCCTTTAGGGAATGCCTTCGTCCTTTTTAGTGTGAGTTGCTAGAGTTCTCATTCTTCAGCTCCCTCCCCCAAAGTCTTGAGAAGTCCAGTTTCTGAGTAAGCAGCGTCTCTCTATGGTGCACTTTCCCGTAAATGCAGGCACATGAACACTAAGGCACCAGCAGGGCAACATCTGTCTTGCAAATAGACGAATATGGCTGCACCAGTGGAGTTTGACACACTGCAAATACTAAGATACTTAGAACCCTAGCCTGGACTATTTGAGGATAACTCGTTCTTTGTTGTTAATGTATCTTCAATAAAAACAACTCTTCCAACTATTAAATAACTGGAAGGTGATAGATTGCTGGATATATGAATATGGTATGCAAGTGGGGGACCTGCATGGACTTGAGGGAGGGGGTGTCTCTGCTCTCTCTCTCTTTGCTCTCTCCTTTCCTGGAAACCCTCATAGCTTCTCCCCCTTTCTTGCTTCCTTCTCTCCTTCTCACCCCCCAGCAAACCTACCGTTATGTGCCATCCTGTCTTCAGCTTTCCCCCAACAGCTTCTGCCCAGGAAAATTGTGGTCGAGTTGCACAGTAGTGGCTATTGGGTTGGGTCAGAGGTCATTTCCTGCAGGAGTGGAGCTCCGGGAGTAAAGAGCCCAGGCGGCAGGCACATGCAACAAGCCCCACCCCCTGCTCCCAGCAGCCCTCAGTCAGAGCAAGAAGCAGCCAGGTAAGTTGCAGAGCTCCCCCCGGCCCCAAACAGTCCAGTGGCACCTTTAAGACCAAGTTTTATTCAGGTACAAGCTCTCCCTCCTCTGTGAGGGCAGATCTGCACGTGCCCCCCCCCAACAGCTAGCAATCCAAAACAGTCCATTGGCACCTGAGCGGTGGGTGTTGCCTTCTGACACACTTCCGATGATGTCAGGGGGTGTGGCATATGCAAATAAGTTATACTAATGAGTTATGCTAATGAGCTCCTGCACCTCTTTTTCTATTAAATTACCCCAGATTGTGTCCAGTTGCACAGTGAGAAACCTGCAAGGACTTAGGGGGGAGGACCTATTTTTTTTCCTGTATTCCCTTCCCCATGCTATGTCCTCTTTCCTCCAGACAACCCCCATATTCTCATTTCCCCCTGCTTTCTTGTGTCCTTCCCACCCACCGATCAAACTATCTTTTATCTGCCCCCATCTTCAAATACATTTGTTGTTTCACGTATACTGTGCCTGTCTCAACAATAGGGACCCAAAACCGCATGCATCATTCTACTCGCCTACATTTTATTCTCACAACAGTCCTGTGGGGTAAGTTACGCTGAGAATGTATAACTGGGCCAAGGTCACCAAGTAAGTGACACAGCCGAGTGGTGATTCAAACCTGGGTCTCCTGTCTGGTTACTGGTGGGCAGGCCCCAATTAATCCTTTCTCAAAGGCCAAAACAGCTCTGAAAAGGGCCCTTCCCCCATCCATTTACTGATAGAAACCAAGGTTTGAAGGCTGATGATACTGTGTGGTTGCCTAGCTACAGCCTGAGGGCATTCATTTCTTAAAGCTGCAGGTGCTGTTTCTATTGTTGGGGAATATAACCCCCCTTGATGTATTTTTTCCCCCTGATTTCAATTTTTTCTGCAACGCTAGGGTGTTTTCAAGTTTGTAGGAAGATCTGTCTTGTTTGTTCATTAACTATCCACAGATCTGGCCATGTTGAAAATTAGATATATTGATAGTACAGAGAGCAGAGCCTTCCACAACATGTCATATCTGGGCAGTGATTCTTGTAAGCAGCACGCCCTTACTTTTGTTGGTGAAATGTCAGAGAGCATGTCCTGTCAAGCAGAACAATGAAAAGGAATCAATTTGTCAATTGCAGTTGTAGTCCCATATCACTAGGACCCATGCAAACCTACCTGTGTGCTCAGAATCTCTATGAAGACCCTGCTTAGCTTGCCTGGGCTATCCAGGTCAGGGCCAGTATTTCAATTACTGTGACTGCTCCCTGTCTATGGACAGAAGCACAGCTGCAGACTAGTAGCTGGCGAAGAGAGTGGAGCTGAAAAACGGGAACCATTAAGTTCCCAGCACAGAGTATTCAAGCTCTTAGCACTGGCTGAAGCAAGACAATGGTTTACTGCCTCACGCCCTGCTAGCAAGTCGCACCTAGAGCCATAAATTTGGGAAGACAAAAGTGACAGAAGGAAAACTATTCCTTTGGGACAAGCAAGGACAGTAAGGTCATCTCAAGGGGGGAGGGAAATAGGCAGAGGTTATTTAAACTCAGGACCTAAGGAAGAAGCTTGTTTAGCTTCCAGCTCCTTGGATGAGCACAAGGTATAGCTTTGACCGAGGGACTTCATCTTGTTCATGCAGTTCATGAAGCCCCAACTAAAAGATCTAAGGTAACAATGAACTTTAAACTACTGCAACTTCAAGTAAAGCTGCTCTGTCCTTTATGAACATCATTTAGGAAGCACCTAGTGCAGGGAAAGAGGACTGCATATTTTCACCTTTTCTTTGTTCCCTTGCTCAGCCCAAATGCTTGTATAGAACATATGTAATATTTTATTAATTTATTACATGTTCTTATGTTTGGAATGTGTTGAGTCTGGTCTCCAGAAACACCATGTCTATTCATTCTTTCTTTCTGGAGGAAGGTGAGCAGGTCAGCTGGCTATCCCTGGTGCATGATAGCCTGAATATTCAGAGTTGCAGTAGACCATCCCCACAGGTGACTGTAAGAGTAATGGGAGGTGCAGCAACTAGACAGACCCTTTAAATGGCAATGCAAGTGTAGAACACTAGTCATATGATTCCATTTAGCAGGAGATACTCTCAGAGTCTTTGGTGGCAGTGGGTACCCAGTTGCTTTTTGCACCCTTGGGGAGGGACTGGAAGGAGCATCATTGCCAAAGGGAGACTTGGGATGGCCATGAGGTTTTTCTGAACAGCCTGGGGCCGCCCAGAAGTAACAAGGAATTCCTCGCAAGTCCATTCCTTCACAGCCATTCATGGATGTCTCCTCCGTGAATTTGTCTAATCTCATTTTGAAATAAATTAAACTGGTGGCCATCCTGTGGCAGTGAGTTCCACAAGCTTATTACTCTTGGAGTGGACAAGCAATTCCTTTTATCTGCTATGAGTCGATTGCTCATCATTAGGTGCCAATACAGAGAAAACACAGGAGACCCTTTGGAAATAGTTCAGTGGGATATGATCTTCCTTACGAACAGCTTACCCCTAAAAACAGTCTTTGGAAGGGTGCCACCTTCAATAACTCTTCCAAAAGTACCTTTATGCTGTTTGCCTTTGATGGGAATACATGTCGTACATCACTCCAAGCAAAAATAAATTATTCTGAATCCTGGTACTGTTTGTGCTATGCTCTTTAATGCTGGTCCTCTTGGGATGTTCGGAACGGCTGCCAAAACATCTAGCTAGATTGGAATCATTGCAGAATTGCCAGGGGGGGAAGACACTTCCAGCACTTACAAAAAAAAAAAAAACCCCTCCCGAACACCACAGCCCTGAAACCTTCATGTGAACAGACCTGGCATAGTTTGTGGGGAAGCCCCAGAGGGCCATCTACAGGTTGGGATGAACAGGTCGCCCAGGAAGTGCAAGGAAGAGCAACGAGGTTATGGGGAGTGGTGGCTCCTTACTTTTGCTGTGGTTTTGAGCTGCCGCATTGTTTCCCCAGCTCCCCCCTCCCTCCTCTGTTGCCTTAGCAACCCCAGATGCCTGCGGATACCCGGTTGCCTGGCGCGTCGCCGAGGTGCTTGAAGATGCTGCAAGCCCACCAGCTGGGAATGAAGAAGGGGTTTGTGTTTGTTGGCGTGTATGTGAGGGTAGGGGTTACACAAACATAGACGTGAGGGGGGTTTGCAGGAGAGTGGAGGGGTCTTGGAGCAAGCCTATCTGTGTCTCAGGGGCTTGCCACACAACACACACACACACAAAGGACAGAAGAAAGAGAAGGGCTGAATGCAGAAGAGAAGCAGACTGAGATGAGCAGCGCCGGTTCCATAATGAGATTTTCGCATCCCCGTGTGGCCTCTTTTTATTAAATCATGTCCCTTTACTTGTGTGAGCCGTACACTCAACGCTAAAAAAAGTCTGCAGGTCTGGCTGAAAAAAGGGCATCAGCGGTGCCGGGGCAGTCTGCCCGTGTGGTTTAGGGTGCTTTTTGGGATTGAGGGGATACTGTTACCTTGGCCCGTAGGATGGTGCAGTTGAGAGTGCAGCTCTCGGGATCATAAAGGACGTCAAATTCCAGAGTCCCCAGGGAGGCTAGAAAGAGGCCAGGTAACCAGCAAAATGAAGAAAAGGAATAACATATCAGTTGCAGCAGTAGTTCCTGTCCCCCTCTCTCTAAGTTATATTCTTTTTTCTCGGCTGACATATCTGGCTGCATCTGGCTGCCTACACACCCGCCTGGGCCTTTTTTGTCTATCTTTTTAAACTTATCTGTTACACTACATCGATATTACCTGCCATCTAGTGATATATGCACAGGGCTGCATGGTCTGTGCTTTAAAAAAAACAAAACCAGTTAATCAAAATTCTGTCTTTCAGTACAAGTGGATTGTATTTGGTGCCAGTGCATCCGAATTCAGTGGCCTCTATGCATTTGTCTAATTATAGGGCCCCTTTGCTTACATAGGCTTGTATGGCAAAGCTTATTTTGGTTTTACTTAGGTTATGGGACACAGCTGAACGCTACACCACACATCGACTACTAAAAATCCCACTAAACTTCCCTCTGATTTTGGAGATTTCATCAGGCATTAGTCGTATGCCTCTGCTTCTTGTCCTAATGGCCCTGTGGGATAGAAAGTTGGTGATTTTTCTGTTTGTTTCCTCTCTAATGAAAACCCAGGATGCTGAATTTCATGCCAGAACCACAGTTCTGTGGGAGGTTTTCCCCCGCTTGAGGAACTGCGTCTGTTTATTAGGGACGTTCAGTTTTCTTTCATATTGTTTTTGTTGTTGTTCCAACACCTTCATTCATTTTTATTGTATTCCTTATCACGCACATTTGGTCTCATTATTAAATTCTTTTCATTTCTGCTGGTTTCAGCGGGAAGCATTTCGGGCTGTCACTTCTTCCCTTTCCATCCAATTTGGACAATGTTTTCAAGGCTAGTTACCCCTAGTGTAAGGGACTCTCTCCCATCCAGATTTCACATAGACAAGGACCTGGTTTTGTTATACCGTGTTTCCCCGAAAATAAGACACTGTCTTATATTTATTTTTTCTCAAGAAGACACACTAGGGCTTATACCACAAATGCATAGAAATCCTGCTAGGGCTTATTTTTGGGGTAGGTCTTATTTTAGGGGAAACAGGGTAGCTAACGAAAGGCAAAACACAGGGAAACAAATGGCAGTCATCGGCCCATTGTCATTCCTCTTGGTTTTTGTAATGGCAAGAAATAGAACAAGTAGAGCATTTTTAGTTGGCTTTTCATTCATTGGGGAATGAAGGCACATCTGGGCTGTCCATCACCGCAGGACCAGAAGAGTTCATATCAGCTTCGGTTTCCAAAAGGCAAATCCTCCATTGCCTTCCAGACTCACTTTGCATCTTCTGCCTATCTCAGGGCAAACAAACAGACGAAAAGGTCTCAGAGCCTGCATAGAAGTGGCTTCCTTCTGCCAGCCTTGTGCCCTGTTGCAGGTGGCGAGGAGAGGGCATTCTATACTCAGAACACGCTCAAAGCATTTGCTCGTATCTTCTAGGACAGAATGCTGGCCAGGGCTGCCAATGTCAGGTTGCAAAATCCCTGGAGATTTCGGGGTGGAATATGGGGAGGGGGGCGTTTGGGGAGGAGAGGGACCTCAGTGGAGTATAATGCCACAGAGCTCACCCTCCAATAGGGTTGCCAACTCCAGGCTGTAAATTCCTGGAGATTTGGGAGTACAGCCTGGAGATGACAGGGTTTAGGAAGCAGAAGGACCTCAGAGAGGTAGAATGACACAGAGCCCGCCCTTCAAAGCAGCCATTTTCTCCAGGAGAACTGATTTGTTTACTCTGGAATTCAGTTGTAATTCCACGAGATCCCCAGGCCCCACCTGGGGGATGGCAACCCTATCCTCCAAAACAGCCATTTTTCGCCCAGGGACCTGAGATCTGCTGTGTGGAGGTCAGCTGTAATCACAGGAAATCTTCAGCCTTCACCGGAGGTCGGCACCCCTAGCCCTGCCATGGCATAGAGCAGAGGTGTCAAGCACATTTGTTAGGAGGCTGGATCTGACATACGTGTCACTTTGCCGAGTCGGGCCATGTGCCAGGTGGTCCATGAGGGAGGGGGACCCAGCCGCCACGTCGTGGGCTTGGTGGCAGAACTAGGCCTCCGCTGTGTGGAAGAAACTGCCAAATAATGCCCCCCAGTGGCCAAAGCACAGATGCCACTTGGGTAGGGTTAGCATCCCCCTGATGGGGGTGGGTTCCCCCCCCCCCGATTTCAGGCTGGCAGGGGGAGCCCTGGCCCTGAAGAGGCCCACCATGCCTGACATACCCAGTAGGGCTGCCAAGTGGGGGCGGGGGGTGGGTAAACCCCCGCTTTGGAGGCCCGATTTCCGCCACCGCGGAATTGGGCCCCAGGGGGAACCCCACCCCCATATGCGCGTCACGAGAAAGTGACGTGGGCACGCGGGGCACGCTGGGGGCAGGGCCACGGCCATACAAGGGAAAACTCTATGGTTTTCCCCTGTATGGCCGTGGCCCCGCCCCCAGCGTGCCTGGCGTCCTCCCGTCACTTCCGGGTGACGTGCGTGTGGTGCACGCACGCGCACAAGACACTGGCTGGGAGCCCCTTGCTCCCAGTGAAGATACACTTGGCATCCCTTGTCCCCAGCATTATGACATCACCCAGAGGTGATGTCATCGCACCGGGGTCACTCTAGTGTTTGGCTAAAAACTCTATGGTGCCCACAGAGTTTTTGGCCAAACCCTAGAGCGTCCCCTGCACAATATGCCCAGCACGGTGACGTCACTTCCGGGTGACATCATCGCACTGGGCATGGCAGGTGTGGTGGGAGTCTTCGGGGACGGGACTCCCCCCGCCAGCCAGCTTCCCAGAAGATCCAGGGGATCAAGCTGCAGCCTCCCACCGGCAGAAGGTAAGGACCTGGCAACCCTATGCTTGGGGAGCATGAATACAGTGGTGGAGGTCGGTCGCTGCCAGCAGGCCCCCAACAGAGGATTATCTGCACCCTCCATGTGCAAATGCTGGTCCCTGAAGCTATCTGGGACAGGCAGCATCCCTGGAGCTGCAGGTCGAGCGGAGAGGTATGAATGCGGCTGCAGTGGCTACCAGTGAGGCTGCCACTGAAGCAAAGGGCTCTGCTTGACAGCTGCCGACAAGGCTGTTTGAAGTCAGAATCAGAATGGCTCCGCCCACTCCCCCCCCCAGCAGCCTCCTGTTCCCTCCCTTGCACCAGTTGCTTGTGAGGGGCATAAGACCCCTGGCATACAGGGTCTGAGGTCAGTCTCACACGCTCTGGTAGGCCTATTCCTGTTCCCTCCCTTGCTCCAGTTGCTCGCGAGGGGCATAAGACCCCTGGCATAGAGGGTCTGGGGTCAGTCTCACAAGCTCTGGTAGGCCTAACAACACAAGCATCAATCTATAGTCCTATTTCAGGCCGTTTACAGATATTTCATCTTTCTGCATCTCCTTCCGTCTGGTTTCTGACTAAGGTTAATACGGAGAACAAGAAAAACTGTGGAAAAGTGATGCTTAATATATGTCTTTAAAGAATCATAGAAAAGTGAACAACAATTAATATACATAATCATAGAAAATATATTGACGGTGATCTCTGGTATGTCTTGCCGTTTCGAAGGAAGATCTTCTTCTGAACAAAGATGTGGGACAAAAACTGTCTCTCAATAGTTCATATCCTCTGGTGTCATCTCACAATTATCAAAGAAGATTTTCAATAATCATAACAGCTGTAATGCATAGTAGAACCTGCCATGGGCTAAGATGATTGTAATGCCCCGGACAAAATGGCTGCTTTGAAGGGAGGACTCTGTGGCATCATGCCATGCTGAGGCCCCTCCCCTCCTCAAACCCCGCCCTCTCCTGGATCCACCCCCAAAGTCTCCAGGTATTTTCCAACCCAGACCTGGCAACCCTGTTTCTGACCTGCTCTCTGACCATCCACTACATGCCAGTCCACCTTGGAGAGACATGATCTATCGGTCTGTCTAGTTCTGTGCACCCATCCATCCGGCCCTCTTGCCTCCATTTGTCTTTGTCTCTCTCTCTGCTCGTCTCTCCTCCCATCCATTCATCCACCTTTCTTTTTCTTTCCTTCGTCCCCCCTCCTCCTCTCTGTGGCTCCATCATATCTACAAGTTTGTGTCCCTTGCAACAGGCTGTTGTGTTGGTGAGGGTGTGAGCTTGTGTGGGTTTGTTTCTGTTTGAGAGGCTGAGTGAGCATTTGTATGTGTGATTTTGTCCCCAGAAGTGTGTGTTCCTGTATTTGTGTGTTTCTCTTACTCACTGAATTGGCTCTGTGTGTGAGTAAAGTCTTTTGTATGATTCCAGGCGTATTACTTGGTGGACCCTGGTGTTGTGCGTGTGGAGTGGCGCATGTTCATATGTTTTGGCTGATCAACTGTGTTAAGTATCAGTGTTGTGGTTTTTGGCTGTGGAGACCCGGTACTCGTGGGCAGGCTGACTTTTCGTTAGTAGCATAAGGATCGGGAGCAACGGCTGTAAAGCCCCAGCTGTGTTTTGTCTGTGCTTGTGGGGGTGGGTTCCTGTGAGTGTTTGTTTCTGTATCTGGGAGTGAGTGTACACCCCTCTGTGTACTGACAGGGCTGCAGGTGGGTAAAGGCAGGGTCACAGCAGATTGTGGGGGCAGCAGCGGAAGGCTGCTGGTGCATCGCGTAGTCGTGTTTGTGGGTCCTGTCGCAACTGACTTTGCCTACGGGTGAACCAGTGGAGAACCACTTGTGAGGAGCAGCTGGTATGCATGTGTGCACATATGAGAAAGAAAAATGCACATCTGGTTGAGAGAGAGTTTATATGTGTGCAACAAAGGCTCCTACAGCCTGATCCAGGGAGGGCAGGAAGGGTTGCCTCAGTGCTTAGTTCTTGTGGCCCTTTCTTACACGCCCAGGGAAATGCTGATCACCACTTTGGGGTCAGGAAGCAATTTGTCTTCAGGCCAGTTTTGGCTAGGGTTGCCAAGTTGATCTTCGCTGGGAGCGGGGGGGGGGGCTCCCGGCCGGCGTCTGATGCCCGCGCCGCACGCACGTCACCCGAAAGTGACGGGAGGACGCCAGGCACGCTGGGGGCGGGGGCACGGCCATACAAGGGAAAACCGTAGAGTTTTCCCTTGGATGGCCGTGGCCCCACCCCCAGCGTGCCCGGCATGGTCGCGTCACTTCCGGGTGACGCGCACGTCGGGGAGGAGTTCCCCCCGTCAGGGGGGTCACTGGGGGTTTTGGAGGGGGAGGTATTTGTGAATTTCCTGCATTGTGCAGGGGGTTGGACTAGATGACCCTGGAGGTCCCTTCCAGCTCTATGATTCTATGTTTTCTTGGAAGTAAGTCCCCCTGTCTTCAATCCCCATGGGTGGGGATGCAGCTTAATCCCTAATCTTAAACAGGTTTATTCTAAAGTAAACTAAATAGGACCTGCTTGTTTGAAGCACTTCTGAATGCCAGTTTCCGGGAGGCAGTAAACAGGGTCGCCTACGCTTGCCTGGGAAATTCCTGGAGACCTGGGTGTGGTGCCTGTGGAGGGAGGGCATTTGAGGAGCGGTTTCACCTAGAATCTATGGTATACCATAGAGTTTACCCTCCAAAGCTGCCGTTTTCTCCAGGGGAACTGATCTCTGTAGTTTGGAGGTCAGTTGTAATTCTGGGAGAAGTCCAGGGCTCACCTGGAGGCTGGCAACCCTAGTTAATATGGGTGGAACTTGTCCTCTGTCCACCGCCATGGTCTCCCACTGTGGAAAAGTGGATGACGGAAAAGACTGACCCTTGGTCTGATCCAGCAGGGCTCTTCTTATGTTCATACGAGCCCTGTTGATTTCACTGCTTGAGACTGCAGCCTTGGCGTGCTGCTTATATTTCAAGATTCAACATGCATGTAGAGGAGGAACAGAGACGAGGCAGGATGTGCAGTGTACTTTTTGTGTAAGGTGTGGTGTGTGGAAAAGTGTAAGGAAAGGTAGCTTTGGTGCAGGATGATTAGACGGTGAGACTGTGCGCAATATCTGTGTGTGAGCTTCTCCACAGGATGGGGGGGAGTCTCTCTGACAGTCCTAATCAGTGATATGCCTTTCTAAGTCCACTCAAGTCAATGGACTTAGAAAGGGTGCAACTCTGCTTAGGATGGCACAGTAGAGAGACAATTCTTCTGTGAATGTGTGTGTACGAGAATTGTGAAGTTTGCAAGACTCCGTGTGTGTCCATATTTCAACACAATTGTAGCATAAAACTTCATGCAAAAGAGTTGGATGGAGAGAGAGAGAGAGAGAGAGAGAGAGAGAGAGAGAGAGAGAGAGAGAGAGAACTTTGGGGATGACATGTGTGTATAAAATAGAATGTGTTTGTGTACAAACCTCTGTATGTAGGGCAAGGAGTGTGTGTCTCTGCGTGGCATTTGGGTGAACATTTTGATTGCATGTGAGGGAAGAAATGTGTGTGTATGTGTTTTGGGGTGTATGTCTCTGTGTTTGTGTGTATGAGTGTGTGCAGGGCTTTTTTTGTAGAAAAAGCCCAGCTGGAACTCATTAGCATAATTGGCCACACCTAACAGCAGAAACGTATTATTTTATTAGGTCACACCCCTGACAGCACAGCTCATTAGCATATGAGGCCACACCCCTGTGTTACCAGAAGTGTGCTCATCCAGCCACACCCACCTTTTGCTTCTTATTCTGTTTACCTTGTTTGTTGTCAAAACCCAGGGCCTTTTTTGTAGCAGGAACTCCTTTGCATGTTAGGCCATACACCCCTAATGTAGCCAATCCTAATGAGTTTCTGCGGTTGGGTGTGGCCTATTATGCTAATGAGTTCCTGCTGGGTGTGGCCAACTCGGGAGCCAGCCAGAACTCCGTGCGTTCCTGCCCAAAAATAGCTCTGAGTGTGTGGATGTAAAACTACAGGTGTGGTAGATACAATATACAGGATTGTTGTTGTTGTTGTTGTCTTCTTCTTCCATGTCTCAACATTGTGTAACAAAGTCCACATGTAAAATTATACACAAAGAAAGGAATCCTGATCTGTGGAGAAAGAATCTGCTGGTGTGAACATGTGTGGACGAAATGTGCGGTAGAGATAAGTGAAACCTTACTGAATGAATTTGTCCCAGAGCACTAGGGGTCCCCTTTGCCCCTCATGAGGTAGAGATAACACTCACTGTTCTCATCAGAATCATCTCCGTCAGCTGCTTCTCCTTCTCCAGTTCCGGGGGCCACATTAGCTGCCCCTGGGCCCCTCATTCTGTCTCGGGTGGACAGTACTCCCTCCAGCCCAGGGTGTGGGAAATAAGCGGAGATCTGGGCAATGGGTCGGATTGGTCCCGGAGACACATCAATGGCCATGTGTTCCCGGATAGGGACCGGAGCACGTTCTCCCCGGCGGACGGTCATCAGAAGGGCGAGGGAGTCAGCTCTGGAAGATAGAAAGAGGGTTTTCTTGTGATTCACTTGTGGGGTCCCCCCCCAGTTGTAAGCTGATCCCATGTTTTGACTGTGAAGCACCAAACTTTTGACCACCCCACCTTCAAATCTTTAACAAACAGAAACCCCAGGGTTCCTTAGAACTAAATTTTTGCTAGTTCCTAGCAAGTAGTTGGCAGAAAATGTGTAAATCTGATTGGAAATTATCCACCCTGTTTAATTGGAAAACAACAACAACCTTGATTCAGAAAAATATTGTTTATTTCTAGTGGTAAAATACAACCTTTATTGGCCAAAAGAGTCTCTTTCGTGGGAGACATCAAGTTAGGTCTTTTGGTTGAAAATTATATATATATATTGGCAGAAAATCTCATCCAGATTGCATAAAAAATATAATTGCTTTGGCAGAACAACTAGTCTTTTTCTTGTGGAACATGTCCCACCCTTCTGTAGATCTATATTGATCTGGGAATGGTCTGTTGAGGCAAATATCCCACTTCATTAAAACACTGGGCTCTTCCGGTGTTATCCACCTGCACTGACAAAATATGCAGATAAAATGGCTGCTGAGACACATTGTATTAGTGTCCAAATTGTTAGAAGCGCAACTGAGAATTCACATTTCACATTCATGCTTTGCGGGGGCATCCATAGCTCAGTGGCGGAGCATGCGCTTTGCATGCACAAGTTTCCAGGTTCAATTCCCAGCATCTCCAGATGCCTGAGATATTGGCAAGATGTTGCCAGGCAGAGTAGCCATCTACAGGGCTCGATAAAGCAATGATATGACGCAATTTATAAGACAGTTTCACACATTCATGCATCTGGCAGGTGAATGTCTTCATTTGTATCTCTCCCTTGGTGAATAGTGTAATGTCTGAAGAAGACACCTGTGTTTGTGAATACGCAGGGTCATGTCGGTGGTGGCTCCATGTGGTTTTGGAATGTCACCAGTGGAATCCCTTAAAGAACTGGTATGTGCAAGCTCTCTTGTCTTCTTGGGTGTCCCATCCCTGCTATGTAGGGTTGCCAAATTTGGGTTGGGAAATTCCTGGAGGTTTGAGGGTAGGTGTGTGGTGTCAGGGACGGCAGTGTGTGGGGAGTTGAGCTTGCTCACCAGGGACATTGATACCACAGAATCCACAATCTGAAGCTGCCATTTTCTCCTGGAAAATTGATCTCTGTGATCTGGAGATCAGTTATAATTTCAGTAGAACTCCAGCTCCCCAACTGGAGGCTGGCAACTCCATGCTACCAGGGCACTGGGTCCTTTGGGGCCTTGGCACACACCCTTCCTTCACTTTCTGGGACTTCATGCCAAGGGCAGACGTTATAAAGCCATTATCGGCCACATCTTTTCAGACTGTTGCCGTAAACATCCTAATCTTTCCTTTACACATTACAGTTATTCACAAGTTGCCGTGTGAATCGGCTCTGAGAGACACAAAGGTTTGCAGCAGTAACCATTCTCTCTCTTCTTCCCTGCACTCTTCAGTGAAGAAACTTTCCCCCATGAAACCATTCTTTACGGAATGGTTAGATCAGGCCCAAGTGTCAAAGAGCTCACAGTTGCTGCAGGTGAAAATGTTGGTTTGCTGGCAAACAGGCACACTGGGAGCAAGTGGAGTCCAAGTGGTGATGCCAGCATGTTAGAGAGGTTTGCCTCAATCCACATCATGGGCTACGAGGATCGGGTCCGAAGGTGCCACCCTGCATCCTATGTAATAGTCGCATGTGAGCTTGAATGGAGAATTTCTCCTGATGTCCCATTGTTCTGCTAGGAAAACAGATCTTCCCATTGCACCCACCCAGGTTAAAACAGAAAATCTGGCTTCTTCTTTCCCGTGACTGTCTTTTCAAAACATGTTTCCCCATTAATTTGTAGCAGGTCAAAAGTTATAAATTATGGCACAATAGGAAAAAAAATTGCTTTCATCTTCAAAAAAATCATAACTGACACATTCACAGGTGCTTAAATCCCCAAGTGACTTAAATTACAAAAAAAATCCCCGATGTGTTAGTTATTCGTAATGATAGTAGCATTAAATGAAGTGTTAACAAATCGATTTAATGCTCAAATGGAACATCAATGGGCCAGATAACAAGATTCCTAACTCTACACATGTAGAATTCATTTACTACGCTGGTTTTTTTGGAGGCAAGTGGGGAGGGGGGCAGGGGGAGAAAATTATAATTGAATAAAGAATTTAATTGCTGGGATCAAATGACATTTTGGTTTGGCAATTTCTTTAATGCCCAACATTCTTGAGAGGGTTATTTTTAATTAATTAGAACTGGATTATTTAAAAGATATTAATAGAATGAGTTTGCTAAATTGAGTCGTCTCCCCCTCCCATCTCTGTCCTTTTTTGAAGTCTGTGGGAAGGTGTTTTTTTTTTTTAATGTTGCTTCAGTGGGTCAATTTTCAATGGATTGTCACCCTCTATCCAGATCTGCCCGAGATCATAAACACTGCCCCAGCGTCTACCCCACACATCTGAATAAATGTCAATGATCTCCCACAATTTTCTTAACACCTGCTGGCTCCCCACCCAACTTCTCTCCCTAAATATCCCAATTGCGAGAAAGTGGTCCTGCCGCTTCCCCGTTATTTACTGAACAGCTCCCAAATAAATATTTTCCTGCCTCCTGCTCGTCATTTCAAGAGGCAAATCTGAACTGCCCCCTTGTTATTTCCTTGTCTTTACTCCCAGATCAGCCCCACACCCCGGTAACTACCTTTCCCATTCCTGCCCCCCCAATTGCCCCCAGCCTCTCCCCACACATCTCTCTCAAGCAAGTCTCCCAACTCCCCCCTCTTCTTCCCAAACTCTGCCAGAAACTGCCCCCCACATACATTCCCCCTCACTCCCCCCAAACTTATTCCCCACAGGGGTCTTCTTCACACATTTCCAGGCTCCCCAAAGTCTACACCTGAGCTTCCTGCCCAGGGTTACCATCCTTGCCCCCTGGGAACCCAGCTCTTCCCCCCCCCATCCTACCTGAGCTCTGCTCCTGTCAACAGGTAACGGTGGGGAGGGGGATGGCACGGCGAGTGAGAGACGGTCGATTGGGGGATCCCACGGACTTCGAGAGATAGAGCCAGAGAGAGCCAGAGAGCCAGCGAGGGGGGGGGAGAGGAGGGGGGGTTGCAGGCAGGGAGGTGGAGACAATAGAGAAAGAGAGGAAAGGGAGGCGGAGGGTGCAGAGAAGCGCGATCTGATATGCAACACAAGAGATTAGATTAGATTGAGATAGATAGCAGAGCCTGGCTGGAGCATCCCTGGGAGCGCATGTTTTGCTTGCATCTGTACTTCAGGGAGAGGAGGAAGGGGGCCACCTGATACTGCAGTTGATAGCATCAGATAGAAGGAAGGGTGAGTGGATCTGGTCCGCAGTATCAGAAAGGAGAGGGAGAGATCTATCTCATCTTCGGCTCTCTTTCCCCCTGTGCAGAGAGAGGGCAAAAGAGCGAAAAGCTGCAAATCTTCTCAGAACTTTGAGCCCCTTCTGTCCCTGAGTCTCAGGGGTAGGTGTTGGGGGGGGAGGAGTGAAAACACCCTAAAAATGCAGTTTAAAAAGTACAAGGAAGAGGGACGAACTATCGATAGGGAAAAGGTCTCTTGTGGTCACAGGTTAGGTAAGAGGAGATAAGAGTGTGTGTGTAGCGAATGAATTAGGGGAGGAGGAAGAGAATTATCAATAGCGTAGAGACATAATTTTAAAAAACCACCCTGAAAGAGAATTTATTGGGGGAAATGTTGAAAGGAAAAAAGGTGTGTTAGAAATGGTTTAGAACATGTATGAAGATGACAGAATAAGAATGGGGTAGGGAAGGAACGGGGGGGGGGAGATGAGAAAATATTACTTAAAGATTCTAGGACCCCCATTTGGTTGAAAAGGACACCCTTCTTTGCCCCTAATCTCTGGTGTGTGGGGACTCTGTGGTGACGCAGTTCATTTTATACAGGCTCTAAATCCTGGTTTTGAGACCAAGGATCGAGCCCTGGCCCTGGGCAGGAGGCAGGAAGGTTGTGTGAACAGGGCAGAGACGGGTCCAGGGACGAGATAAAACAAATGCACCCAAAGGAACATTTTATAATCGAGTATATGAGTTCCCTGAACAAGACAACAGCTCCGAGCATTTACTTCTAGTCTACTGCCCCTCAGGCTTAACTCAAGGATCTTCCCCAGAGGTCCCCAACACCACAAGCTGCTTCACGCCACCCCATCTTTGTTTCATTCTGAGCTGTTTACTGAGTTTCAAAATGTGACCTCAAAGACAGCTAAAGTATTTTCTCCTACAAGGCCGTATTTCATCCCTTGAGTTTGGGAACTGAAGTTTCTTGCTCTCCCCCCCCCCCCCAGTTACTATGGCAACCCTGTCCTGGACCTGCTCCAGACCAGGAAATATTTGTGATGCTGCATATGCTGTTGAGTGACATTTTAAGTGTTAGTCAAATAGATAAACCTGGGTTTGGACCAGTTAAAGGAACTGGGAGCCAAGAAATCTGAGTCCTCTGGTAATGAGGTTTAATCCCAGTCAGGGCTTACAAGGGTTTTAGCTCCAGAAAGCTGTGTTCTGTGTCAGGGCTTGGCTCTGGGAATATGCGAAGTTAAAAATAAAGAGGAAAATCCTTCTGTGCCTGTGCAAAATGCCTTGTCCTCAATACTGGGTACGCCACAAACAGCTGGGGGAGAAAAGGACTTCCAGTTCAACCTGGTTTCATGCACTGAGGACACACAGCTGCCTTGTACTGCATCATACCACTGGTCTATCACGGCCACTACTGTCTGTTATGGCCAGCAGAGGCTTTCCAAGGTCTCCGAAGTCTTTCACATCACCTAGTCCTTGATCCTGTTAACAGGAGGTGCCAAGGATTGAACCTGGGACTCTCTGCATGCCAAGCAGATGCTCCACCACTGAGTCACGACCCCACCCCTCGAGTAATGCCCTCTCACATTCTCGTCGCCTGAGAATGGCGGCGCCAAAGGGAACAGAGCAGTGGCGCTTCAGACATTTCTGAGCGAGGCCGGGGTACTTAGGAGAGCTGCTGAGGTGATTAAAATTCTGGGTCTCATTATAACATCCCGTGTTTGTTCTGAGTAAGGCTGCAAGCTTTAATCAGTTAACCCGAGCAATTAATCAGCTTAAGCTTTTTAGTCACAGATTTTTTTAGAAAAGCATCCTAATCAGCCTGAGGATAAACAAATAAACTCATTTTTTGTGCTTCAGGAACTATCTTTGTCTTACGCAAAGGGATATGAATGAAGGAAGCCCTATACCAAGGAAGCTCTCTACCCTAACCTTCTGGGGCTTCTGAATGGTGTTGGGCTTTGGGCTCATAGGTCACCGCCAGGCATATCTCTGGCATATATCTCTTGATTCTGGGGGTGTTTAAAAATCACAGCTGAAAACCTCTGGCTTATTAGGAGAATAGAGCATCGCCAGCTTTTGTTACCTCAAAAGTCACCAGTTGAATTCATAAAACACATCACAACAGTGCCTGCCTTTAGAAAGCTGTAAATAATAGGGACAGCTTTTTAGTCTCCAAAAGTGAATGGCAGCTTTCTTTTCTTTTCTGCAGGGGTCGTTTCGTCGAAAAAGAGCTAGGGGAACTCATTAGCATAACTCATTAGCATATGCCACACCCCCTGACATCATAAGGCCTGGCAGTGGACCTGCAAGGCCGGCGGGAGTGCGAGGAAGCCCCGCCAAGGCCCTCCCTGGCCCCAGGCAGGCAGGGATGGGGAGAGGCAGGGAGGAAGCAACTTACCCTCCCTCTTCTCCTGCCTCCTCCTGGCTGAATGAGGGCCGGAAGCGGGGCGGCTGGAAGCAGGGGATGGGGCTTCGTCGTGCACCCCGCCCCCCGCACCTCACCCGGGGGAACTGCGATCCCCTGCGATCCCCCCCGAATCGACCTATGCATTAAAGTCATATTGAAAAAAATGTCATCCTCACTCAGAAGGCTTCTTAAGTGTTCATAAATATAACTGACTTCTCAATCAAGTAATTATTCCATTGATTTAATGAAGGGGAGGCCCTAAACAGTTAATTAGCTAAAAGACCTTGACCCAAAAACGAGGGCCACATTATTAACCCCGTTTTGAAAATGTAGCTGAACTGAGACATTTTTTACATGATCCTACAACATGCTTATGCGTCTTGCCTCTGAAATATGTTTAAAAAACACATTGGCTTGAATGTGCCTTTGGTGACTCTTTTGCGTGACATACATTCACACATGCAGACAAGTAGGGCGCAAAGGATCATGCGTGAAAATGCCTGCAGAAACGAGGATTTGGGGTCTTTCCCCTCTAGGGGGCACTGGATCTTCTTCCCTAGACTTCCTTCCGTCTGCCGGGTACTGGTTTGGTGGCGACGGTGTTAACATCTCAGGGACCTGAGTGCGGCCTCTGTGGCTTGTCTTTCTCTCCCCGCCACAGTGAGAAGAAGGATCAATTTAATTCCCTTCCCAGCCATTAATTTTCTCCGCTATCTGTCAAGTTCTGAAGCAAGAGGGAGTTGGGGCTGGGGGGCCGGGGAAGAGAGCGGGTTTAATTAGGCAGATAAACAGCAGGGGTGGGTGGGGATGAGCCAGTTTTTGCCAGTCGCCTTCAACCCCAAGCTGGGGAGGGGGGCGCGGAATGGGAAAGGGGAAAGGGATCTTAATAGTTTTGTTTGATATTCCTTCTTCTTATTAATTGGCTGCCTGATTAGAATGCAGGAGCAGCTGGAACGGTAGCTGACATTCTGTTACTTGTCCCAGCCAGTGAACATAACATACCTGGCATTTGGAAATCTGGACTGTGGATATGTGTGTATGTCTATGAGTGTGTGTGTGTGTGTGAGAGAGAAACCTCTCAAAACTGCCAATTCTACTGGCAGCCCCTGACTCAGTCCTCTGCCCCCCCCTTCCCCTCCCTCTTGGCCCCTTGATAATCCTAGCACAGCCTGTCCAGATTTTGTTTGGCACATTTCTGCCTTCAGCTGCTATTCCTGGAAGCATTTTCGCACCCGCCTCCAGGGCTGTTTACTGGGGAGGGGGGTGCATGGCGGTGGTGGTTATGGTGGTGGGATAAAGGAGCATCTTGCACAGAAGCTTGGCATGTTTGTGTGTGTGATATTTTGGTTTGAGGATCTGGGCACTGACACCTGTCTCTGGAGGCGTCGAAGGGAACTGGGAAAGGCGAGAGTTGGAAGTTTTACAGTGCCATCCTAAGAGGAGTTAACACCCTTCTGGGCCCATTGACTTCAGTGGGTTTAGAAAGGTGTGACACGTTTTAGGATTGCACTGTAATTTCTCCTTTGTCTCTCCTTCCAAAATCTCACCAATCTGACACGCAGGCCTGATTCCACCCCCCTGCCCCTTGTGCGACTGTAGTGTCTCAGGTCCTGGAGGTTCCTTTGCTCTGTTTCGGATTTTAATTCCTCACCCTTTGCTCCCATGTTTGGGATTTCCCATGCTCCCGTGAGACTTCTCTATTGTGCAGATTAGTTGAGTTAAAATTTCAGGAGCGTAGCCCCTGTTGGTCCAGAATAGAAGAGCTAGATCAGGGGTGTGGAACTCGTTTGTTATGAGGGCCAGATCTGACATAAATGAGAGCTTGTTGGGCCGGGCCATGTGTGCCATAAAATGCTATGCCAGGTAGCGGAGATATAAACTTTATAAAGGTCACAAACACAAAGGTTTTTTTTTACTTAAAATAAAAACATGCTTAAAACATTAGCACTCTTGCAATATTTTGTTTAATAACTGACACCTCTTGCTCTGAATTATTACATCAAAATGTCTGTGCTGTTGCAATCTTGAGTATGCTGTTCAGGTGTGTACCTGTAAGCTGCAAACCTACAATGATGCAGCAGCATCAGAACTGGAAGAAGAAGCAGAAGACAGCCAGTTCCACTGCGGGCCTGGTAGAAGCCCTCCGGGGGCCTCATCCGGCCCCCGGGCTGCATGTTTGACACCCCTGAGCTAGATTCAGTAGCCCCTTAGAAACCAACAAGAATTTGGGGGGTATATGCTTTCACAAGTCAAAGTTCCCTTTGTCAGTAAGTTGTTTCTGTAAAGT